TTTATGCTTTAAGTGAAAAATGATCCTAGCGTTATTCTAAATTGAGTTGTGTAAAAAAAAAATTTTTGAAAATTTGTCGATTTCCCCCTTTTCTGTAGCACCAAGCCCATATGTATAATTAGTTAAATAGTGGTTCAAATAAATAAAGACAAGACTGCTTAAAAAAAAAAAAAAAAAAAAAAAAAAAAAAAAAGAAAACATATATTTTCTGGCTCTTCTTTTAAAGTTAGTTTAAATCGATATTACCATAATTTTTATCAAGAGTTACAGTAAACCATTCTTTTATGAAATTATTTCTATTCTAGTAACTACTGTATATAATTTAAAGTTATATAAGTTTTTGTATAGATTTTTATAACTTCTACTGAATTATATAAGAAAATTCTGTAACACTTTCTTGCTATTCTGGTGACTCAGTGTGATTAAGTTAGTTTGTTTTTTGATTTTTGTAAAGTTAATTAAAATTATTAATTTGCATTGGTAAGCTACTCTGATAATGAGAGTTAGCTTGTATAATTATTATGAATTACTGTAAAAAATTCTGTTATAACCTACTTCATACACAATTCATAGTTAAGTATTATGAATTACTGTAAAGTATTATATTTTATATGTGCAAATAAAAATTCCAAAACATTAGGTACATGAAAGAGAAAGCCTGTAAGTAAGATTTTATTCTTTGATAAATCATGATATTATATTATTAATTATGTAACTATCAGTGTTCTAGCCATTTTAATGATATTATTGAAAACTAATTGTTATGTGATTAATTACATAGGTTTACTATTCATCAGAGATAGAATTTTTTTCCCTTGTGCTCCCAGATAATGTAAGATTTTAAAATAAGGCCAGTAACTTTATAATAATTGCAATTATTTCATCATTACGTAGTTTTTATTCTAACTGTAACAACTGATAAAAAATCGTGATCAGTCATAAAATCAAAAACTTAACGAGCTGGTATATACTGAAAAATCTATATCTCATATTAAAAATATTACTTTGCGAACTTATATACCTGTGGCTTCGTCATGTGATTAATTTTACATAATGCTAAATGCTTGATAATGGACATGGGTTATATGGACCAATGAGTATGGTTTATGAACTATGTCCATATTGTCCATATTTTTTCATTGGACATAAGGCACTTAGTCCAAATCAAACACGTAAGCTCCTGTTCCAAAATGTTCCGAATCGAATGAGTACGAAAGGCTAGGCTGAGGTTAAAGTCCAAATAAAATTTTTATTGGACATAGTTCAAATGCAAACACTGGATGGCGCTATTTAGTATTGGACATAATTAACATAATTAAGAGTTAACATATTACATAAGATTCTCGGATTTTTACGTTTTTTTTTTTATAATCAATTAATGGATTTGATCACTGGATAATTTAATTACATCGTTAATTGGATTTTCAGAGATCAAGTCCGTTTTATAAACTTGAAAGTCCTAAGTTTAGTATTTATACGACAGAGTAGTTGGAGGATTGCGCTTAAGTAATTTACTATATACATTCATTAAAACACAAGATTTAAGATACGTATTATTTAGTTCATAGTACATTTAACCATAATTTGAACTTGACGGCATTATCAAGACAGTATAACGGTTAGCTGAAAAATAACCGGTTAACCGTTAAAAGTAACCGGTTTACTGTTTTGCTGATCCGTAAACCGGGTGGTTCAACGGTTAACATTGAACGGATCAGATTACTAAGTTACAGGAGCAGCAGGAGCAGCAGAAGCAGTAGAAGCGGATGAACCTCCAGTTGAATCGTCATCCTTAAGAAATAGGTTGATCTTTTCATCAGCTACTTCAAGATGGTTTGTTTGTTCACAAACTTCCAAAGCGCTTAATCTTAACATGTATTCAAGAAGACTAAGAGTTTTCAAGTTATATTGGTTTATTTCATCCTCAGAATTATCGAATGCATTCAAATTTTCTAAGTCATTGTGAATATCATGCGTTCTTGCCGCTTTAGTGCTGTCAGAAATTTCTGCACTTTCTTCTTCTTCATCTACGTCACTCACTGTTACATCCGAATCTTCATTATCACTATCTGGTAAAGGAATTCTTCTTGGTGTCGAATTCAAAGGGCTTGTGTACAAAGGAATTTTTCTTGATGTAGGAGTTGCGGGACTCATAGGCAAAGGAATTCTTCTTGGTGTAGAAGGCGCGGGACTCATAGGCAAAGGAATTCTTCTTGGTGTAGAAGGCGCGGGACTCATAGGCAAAGGAATTCTTCTTGGTGTAGAAGGCGCGGGACTCATAGGCAAAGGAATCTTTCTTGGTGAAGGAGTTCCGGGATTGGACTGTGAAGACTGTTCTTCCAGATCATCATCCTCACTATTCAAAGATCCCTCTTCTTCCTCATCATCATCAATTTCGATAGGTTCTTGAAATATCTCTAAAGCGAACAAATCAGCGTTCGAATATTCTTTAGACTCCTTTACGCGTTTTTCTGAAGTATTCGGAGGGACATATAACGGATTCGCATCTAAATCCACATTACGCGCAGTTTCATCATCTATTTTTAGTAAATGAGCCTTTGAAAGACCTTTTATTACTTTTAGCACAAGCACCGGACTCTTTGAATCTTCAATATTTAGCAAAGACCCCGATGAGGTATAATATAAACGAGAAATTTCAGCAACAGGAATCCGTTTTATTTTGCCTGGGATACATTGTGATTTTTTTCCGAGTTTGGCTTCTTCCGTAAGTTGTTTTGCAGGGCCATCATTATCAAATTCTTCATGATATCTTCCATCGTTTAAATCTTCAACAATTATCAATTCGTATACATATTCACTTTCTTCCTCATTTTCTTCAACATCATGAACTCGATATAAAGCAGCATCACATTTTGTGAATTCTTCTTTCCATGTAAAGTCATTTACGGTCTTAGGACGAACAGAAGCTGTAAACATGTAATATAATTTTAATTTATAAGCAGGACCAACTCGTATTTGTTTGCTACTTTTTGAAAATAGGCGATTTGCTTCACGTAACGCATTTGATGCTTGAAGTAGACGAGAGGGACTGATAGAGTTTGGTAAACTCCATCCTAAATTTGCACCACTAGTTGTCATCATTAAATTTAAATATGGTACAAATTTCTCAATCTTTTGTGTTAAAGCTTGCATTTCTTTAATAACTTTGGATGCATTGATGAGTTTTTTTTTATCCGTTGAAGGAGTTGATTCCATTTCAGACAAATTATATTCAGAAAGGCTACGTGCAAATGATTCAATATCTTTACGTAATATCGTTGTTTGAGCAGCTGTTGGTTCCAATGCCGTGTTTCCGCGTGCAGATATAATTTCAATTAGATCTATAGCAGGCTGAACCATTCGAATGGTGGTTTCAAGTGTCTTAGGTGTTTATACGAAGTAAAGCCAAACTTAGTATACAATTATTGAAATGCGTGTAGTAACATAATGAAAATTATAAATATACCGCTTTAGCACGCTCAAGTTCTTCCACTTCAATGTTTTGTGAATTAGAGGCGTCGCGTTTGATGTAGTTTGAAACTTGTTTCTTTGAACACAAACAGAGTAGTCAAAGACGCGTCGAACATGGAAAGTTGATAAATAAAAAACCTTTTAATGATACCATGGCATAATTCGTACTATAGGCGAATGCCGCCTTGCCAACCTATAAAACAATAGTAACGAGAGTTTAACCTCTGTCAACATTAAATAATTGTTATTTGAAACGTTACTTACAAAGGTGGCAGTATGCAATGCTAATTTCGTCAGTATTTCATCCATATTGAGATAAATGATATATATTAGTTCAGGCTTATTTTCGGAAAGAATGTTAAGAGGACTTCCATTAAATTAATAATCCATCGTAACAAAACATCACGTGATAACTGATAATATAATTGTGATCGTATAGTGATAGTTAAAATTCACTCTTTTTCTATTACTCATTCATTTAATATTTACCTAAGAATCAAAAAATGGCCACTTTTAAATTCTGTTCTCAATGGTAAATTATTCGAAAGAAATATATATATACGCGCATGTGTATCGTTGATATTTAACATGATCTAAATTCCACAGTAGTAACTTGTTATATCCAAAAGAAGATAAAGAAACTCAACGACTTTTATATGCATGCCGTAATTGCATTTATCAGGAAGAAACTAAGAATTATTGTGTTTATAGGAATGAAATTTCAAATATTATTAGGTAACGATACTATACTTTATTGAATAAGAAAGATCAACTAAGCTAGTGTATATACTGATCTGGTTATTTATTTTAAAGTGATAAAACAACGATAATTAAAGATTTGGCTGCCGATCCATCTTTGGCAAGTAAAATAACTTTTAACCATTTCATATTTCTTTTTTATTATAACAAATTAAATTATTCCTGATTGAAGACAGCCACGTACAGAGAAGACATGCTCTCAATGTGGATTTACCGTAGCGGTGTACTTTCAAGCACAAGCTCGTCGTGGTGATTCAAGAATGACATTATATTATGCTTGTGGAAATAGTAATTGTGGATATCGTTGGACAGATTTTGAAAGTAGTAATGCAGACTTTGATGATGCCCTTCAAGACGAAGAATATGAGGACCAAGATTACCAGAGTAAAGAAGATTACGATTTATCCAATCAATTTGATGATCCAAGTTTTGAAGGTAAATTATGGAGGTGTTATGTAAAGAAAGTCCTTCATATATTATAATTAGTCTCTCACAATCTTCTCATCTGTTTTTTATATAGATCCGTCATATCCAACTGATAATGTAGAATCTGAAGCTATAGACACTAGTGCTCCTCAGTATCAACATAATCCGGAAGATTGGTGATATAAAAAATGGATTTATAGAATTTTATCATTAATTCATCCATTTATTATCTGAAACTGAGATATTTGGAACTTTGCTAGGGTGTAAAAAAATGAAATTTTGGTTTGATCTATTAAACAACCTATATAGAATTAGTATGGTCTATTAATTAAAATAAATGCCAGTAAAAATCTAGAAATACACTAGAGAATTTTTATATGATTCGACTTTGAATTTATCTTCACTATATCAATGTTTATAAATTCCATCAATCATGTCAGAAATATAGATCCCATTTATAAATATATTTGAAATTTTATATGGATCAGAATATAGATTTCATTGATAAATTTAATTGAACCAATAATTCAAATTCATAGACTTATCATTTATAAATTCAAAGGATTTCATCAGTTGGATGTTTTAAGTGTATGGACAGACAGAAAACAGGCACAATAATTTTCATTGCATTTCATCATTCTTCGCATTTTAATTAGTCGATATTTCTGTATTTCTTGGCATTCGTTTTTCGTTCTTACCTTTAATCTCTTGAACAGCGACGCCGATAATGTATAAAACTTGTAACGGCAAGTAGGGTTGTATTAGATTGTAAATAAGGATTGTCCAGTCAACGGCCAGCCCGGTCGGGTCAATGATGTATATACATGCATTAGGTCTGTTATAATATATCCGTTCGGCCATTGTACAAGTTGATCAACAATTATACTAAACCCTGATTGTAATATAACGGGCTTGTGAAAGATCGGCGTAACGGCACCACGGGAAATTCAGTTAAACCCTGTCTATAAGCCCTGTATTGCGTTTATAAATTATAAACATATACTAAATTAGGGTTACATACCTTAAATGCCAGCATGTGAATATATATTTTTAACTGTAAAAGTCTTCAATTGTCCATATAATAACTTATTTACGGTTTAGTGGAATTCTGAATCGACAGATCATAATATAATGTCAAATCAGTACTTGGGTTAGTGTATGATTATATAATCCGTCCCCGTGTAACAATTTTTTTTTTAAAGTACTTCCGTATAAAAAGAAGTTCTTTAAAACATAATAACGCGTATTTTTTTCGTTGCAAAAATGATAACACGTTCTTCTGTCCCTAAAAAATCTATTACGGATCTTGAAAGCTTAACACCATATTCACCTTCTGATTCTTTTCCAGATGATGAAAGCATCGAACCTCCTAAAAAACGCACCCGACGCAAAAAGGATTCTACCTTGACGGATGAGTCTATAACCACACTTGATGCATTTTTCACAAATGAAAAAGGCACAAAGTCTAAAAAAGAAAAGGATGAAGAACAATTTTTTAAGAATTTTCGTTTACGTCGTATAGTCAAAGAAAATCACGGACATGTCATAAATCAGTTGGCATTCTTTTTCAATTTAACAAATTATGAGGCTCCTGTAGGTTTAGAATACAAAAAAACCTTTAACAAACTTGGTCACGTCGAACGCAATATACATGATTCAAGTAACATTTTGGCAAGCGTTGGTAGTATTCAGGTATATTTATATTATTTGTTGTATATTATATGTTTTATATTTTAATACGTGAGATCAATTTTTGAATTAATTGTAATTAGGCAAATATCTATGATAATGAACACTGTGGTGATCACCTGGATATTGTATCCAATTTTGCTGTCTCTTCTGAAAACGTCGACTTAGCTTCAGGCGTACGTTTACTTTCTTTCATGTATCCTTTTTTATTTGTATTCATTAGCTGATTTAAAGAATTAACGCGTTTTTATACATATGATAGGAATTATTGACTTGTTGTTGGTTACATCGAAACGAAGATGCACTGTTGGCCATTGCTGGAAACGCTCGTATCATATACATTATCAGTCTTGCTTTATCCCTTACTTTGAAAACTTTGCGGGGGCATACTGGTAAATTTCATATTATTTATCAACAATTCATCATTACTGAAAATTAATATTAATATTAATGTATACAATTATAGATGTAATTACTGATATTCAAAAGTACCCAAAAGATGATCGACACATATTATCCGCAGCAAGAGACGCAACTGTTAGATTATGGCATGTAGACAGAGGCACGTGTTTGTACGTTTTCGAAACTAGAGCGTCGGTAACTGTAAGTTTAGCTTAATAGAATTGTTACTTTTATAAACTCTGGTTTTGAACCGGTTTATATGGTCAAAATGTTAATCAGCTTTAATATCTAGTATTGGCATCCATCCGGCCAATCCTTTTTAACCGGAAATTACACCGGAGAAATTCGAATTTGGGAAACTCCAAATTTGATCAATCCATCCGAAGATACACTGCATCTTTTTGAAGACGACCTTATAACACGGGTTAAAAAGATCCATTCTGTTCAAATAGGTTTTGTTTTTTTGAAAATTTACTGTTATAATTATAATCGTGATTTTTTAAATTTATATTATATAAATATATATTTAGATTGTATTCGATTTGTTAATGGGAATGTGCTGTCAAAATCAATAAATGGCAAGATCGAGTATTGGAATTACGAAACATTTGAACTTATTAAATCTTTCGTTATCAAAAACAGTTCAAACAATAGATCGAGATTTGATGTTAGGTAATGTTAATGTACGGAGTAATGTTCAATATTACCTTCTAATCATTCGACTTATTTCATATGATTAGTTTGGATGAAAAGTACTTTTGCGTGGGTACGAGTAATGGTACTGTTCATATATATAATGTCTTAAGCGGTAAATTGGTAACTGAGCTTCGCCATCGACGATCAACCAAAGCTGTAAGATGTTGCATATTTTCAAGAGATACAAAGTAAAGTGCCATATATTTCAAAGATGTACTTTTTATCATCTGATTTCTCCAAATTGATAAATCCTTTTAATATAGACAAGTACTTGCGGCTGGTGAAGAAGGATATATTTGGAGGTATGATTATATTAGTGATGAAAAATTGGTAGAATGGGCGAAATGGAAACAGACAAAACAGGAAGAATAAAAATTGTCATTATTTTAGCTCTTTAAAAAGTGATAATTAGCTTTAAAAAGTGATTATTAGCAAAAAAATTCTGTTATTAATATTATTAAAGCGTTCTTTGCCGATTTAAATAAATCACTTTCTAGACATTGGTACAATTGTAAACTTGGGATTATTAAACACCATTAATCTAGTGGCATTTTAATTTATTTTTAATCAGTAGAGAAAACAAATCATTAAAAGTATGTACTGTATACGTATCTAACCAATATTTAGAATCAATTTTCAATTTTATTGAGCGTATTTACTTTCGATGTCTTTCCATTGTTTCTATTATCAAGTGTATATATATAAGAAAAAAAACATTTTGATTATAAAAAACTGAATGAAGTCTTACTTACTCCTTTATTAATAGAGTCCCAAGCCTTATCAGCAGCAGTATCAAAAACTACTTCAATCACAAAGGCTGTAGTAAAAATTCCAGCCAAAAATACAGAATTACGCCTAAGCAGCGAGCGATAAATTGTTCCGGAGAATCTATAAAGAGCATAAATAAAACAGATATAAATATATATTAAACAAAAGAATTAGGTTTCAGGAAATAATTGGGACCTGCTGTTGGTAGACATTTTATTTTTTATTTTATTAATGGAATAAAAAAGTCTGACAGATCTTATGATAATACTAATGCGAATGATATCAGTAAATAATCGTGCTAACCAATAATTATGCTATTTCAAGTGTCACAAACTTTATATAACTTCGAATATAGGAAATTCGCGTCATTACTTTTTTTTTTTTATTTCTTTTGCTAATAATCTAGATTCTGGTGTTAAAACAAGCCGTGCTCTTGCGTAATAATAGGGAGTGTAAAACAAGTTCCAACAGAAAATTTCTATAAAAGAAGAATGACCGAGTTACAGAATAGTACCTCTACAACGGGCAAAAATAAATTAGTAGTTGATCGTGAGAATGTAAGATCCCAAAACTAAAACGTTTAAGAATTCCATTCAAAAATAATTAATGTATTGGCATTATCGTTAATATTATAGACGGTCCCGTTTTTACTACGAATGTTTTGGCAGCAAGGCGCTCATCATAGGTGAATAAATATCTTTAAATTTTAATACATAAGTTCGAAACAATATTTATATTCTGAAATATTTTTTGATAGGCCTGAAGATTACACGCCTGACCATCTCCCTACTGAAAATGAATTACAACTATACACGTGGTAAATTTAATTGACAAAATTTTTTTTTATATAATTATTTTAGTTAATTAATTTTGGTTTTATAAATGTGTATATAGGAAAGATGCTACATTGAAAGAAATTGCTAATCTACTTAAAGAAGTGAACTTTGAATCTACTCGTTCAAATGCTCGAATATCATTCAAATTAGTTTATATTGATAATTTACGTGGAAAATATGCATTTAAAGATTTGGGTACAGTTTATAATATGACATCGACTTCTGATGATGATATAAATCTTGATGATGCAAGGTTTGTTATCGGAGACTTTTTGGATGTAGGAGTTTTTCATGGTGCACCTCCACGAGCTCCTGAAAGGCGGGGTAGCATCATAAAAGATCGAAATAGAGATAGAGATCGAACAAGAAATAGTTATCGTAGCGTTGGAAATGAGCGTCGTGATAGAGATCGAGAACGTGATAGAAATAATGATAGAAGGGACGATCGAAGAGATGGTAATTTTAGGGATAGAAGACGATAAAAAATTCTTGTTAAGTTTCCTATAGCAAAAGATACATTATGTCTGATTTATATTGACTAATATGATTGGATTAAAAAATACTATATTATTACATATAGTCATCATAAGTAAAGTCGTATATTCATATAACATCGTTATACGATAAAGATTTTAAGATATAAATGTTCTTTTGCTTGTAGTGGGTAGTAAAAGAGTAGTTGTATCAATTTATTAATGTGTAATTTTCGATATCTGATATGGATTAATAATATAAGACGAATCAATCTTCAAAGACTTTTTTGACTCGTAAAAATCATTATGATTGTCGTTATATGGTTGTGACTATATCGAAGTCGTGTCTTTTTTTAATAGTAATATGCGACTGTACCGCTTTTACATATCAAATTCAGGATCTTCTATAGTATAGGTGGGCAACATAGAAATACTATAAGATTATAATATATAAAAACTCTAACCCTAACCCTAACCTAACCTTAATTAAAACTAAACTATAACCCTCACCCTAACTCTAACTATTTATAAATTTGCTTAAATTAGTTCAAATAGTTATTTTTATATATTAGGCCATGCAAAATTAATTAAATGGTTTTCATAACCCGGCCGGGTCAAAATTTGAAAATTTCAAAAA